TACAGTGGCTGCACTGTTCACATCAAAAGTCGACGATTTCACTACCGACGATGGCGCCTCCAGCAATGACCTCTCTGAAGACACCTTCACTCTACTCTCATCCAATGCCAAACTGGACTCTATTACTGGTGATAACGATCTCCTGCTTTCCTTGCTAATACCACCTGTCGACAATACTGCAACCGATGATGGTGACAGCAGCAATGAACTTGCAAAAAACTCTCCAACTGTGCTTTGCTTTGATGCCATACTGGAGACTAAAACTGCTGATGACGATCTCTTGCTCTCTCTGCTAACAACTAAAGTCCACAAGGACGCAACTGACGATGGTGATACTGGCAACGAGCCTTCTAAAGATGCTCTCAGTGTGCTTTGTTCTGATGTCACACTGGACTCTATTGTTGCTAACAGGAAGCTGCTGCTTTCTCTGCTACTACGCACAGTGGACGATGGCACAAGCAGTGAAGAGGACACGAACTCTGATTTCTCTGAAGACAGTTTGACTGTGCTGTGCTGTGATGGCAAACTGGACAGACTGGAAGCTAGTATTAAAAATGACGATCTCTGCCTTTTTCTGCTCACACTCAAAGTAGGCGAAAATGTTACCGATGAAGGTGATCCCAACACTGACCTTTCTGATGACACCTCAACTGTCCTGTGCTCCGAAGTCTTACTGGATACCGCTATGGAGGATGGGGATACACTGATTACACTGCTCACATCAAAAGTCGACGATTTCAATACCGACGATGGCGTATCATACAATGACCTCTCTGAAGACGCCTTCACTGTACCCTCATCCGATGCCAAACTGGACACTTTTACTGGTGATAACGATCTGCTGCTTTCCCTGCTAATACCATCAGTTGGTAATACTGCAACCAATGATGGTGACAGCAGCAATAAACTTGCAAAAGACTCTCCAACTGTGCTTTGCCTTGATGCCACACTGGAGACTAAAACTGCTGATGACGATCTCTTGCTCTCTCTGCTAACAACAAAAGCCGACAAGGACGCAACTGACCATGGTGATACTGGAAACGAGCTTTCTAAAGATGCTGTCACTGCGCTTTGTTCTGATGTCACACTGGACTCTATTCTTGCTAACAGGGAGCTGCTGCTTTCTCTGCTACTACCCACAGTGGATGATGGCACACGCAGTGAAGGTGACACGAACTCTGATCTCTCTGAAGAATGTTTGACTGTGCTGTACTCTGATGGCAGACTGGACAGACTGGAAGCTACTATTGAAGATGATGATCTCTGGCTTTCTCTGCTCGCACTCAAAGTAGGCGAAAATGCTAGCGATGAAGGTGATCCGAACACTGACCTTTCTGATGACACCTCCACTGTCCTTAGCTCCGAAGTCTTACTGGATGCCACTAAGGAGGATGGGGATACATTGATTGTACTGCTCACATCAAAAGTCGACGATTTCACCACCGATGATGGCGCTTCCAGCAATGACCTCTCTGAAGACGCCTTCACTGTACTCTCATCCGATGCCAAACTGGACACTATTACTGGTGATAACGATCTGCTGCTTTCCCTGCTAATACCATAAGTCGACAATACTGCAACCGATGATGGTGACAGCAGCAATGAACTTGCAAAAGATTCTCCAACTGTGCTTTGCTTTGATGCCATACTGGAGACTAAAACTGCTGATGACGATCTGTTGCTCTCTCTGCTAACAACTAAAGTCCACAAGGACGCAACTGACGAAGGTGATACTGGCAACGAGCTTTCTAAAGATGCTCTCAGTGTGCTTTGTTCTGATGTCACACTGGACTCTATTGTTGCTAACAGGGAGCTGCTGCTTTCTCTGCTACTACCCACACTGGACGATGGCACAAGCAATGAAGGTGACACGAACTTTGATCTCTCTGAAGACAGTTTG